TATTTATTTAGGTTTCAAGACATGTGAAGGTCTATTTATTTAATATGGAGAAATGCTTTCCCACAAAATAACTTGTCGTTTTTGTCATTGAAAATGGAAACTGTCAGTTCATATTCACCCTATAAAAGTACATATTTTATTTTAATTTTGCATATATTATCCATTTGTAACTCACAGTCCAAAATATACTTGGAATAACAACTGGTTCATTGATATGATATACTCCAGGAAGAATGGGGCAATAATGTTGTATTGCTTCAACGCAAAAGTCACAGAAATTGAGTTGCTCGTCAATTATTGTGACGTTGAGTAGAATGGGACCTTTGTGAAGTTTATATACAGCTTTGAATTTTATGATTGCCCAGTCTATTTTACTACCTGGAATGAGCACTAATTGTAATCAGGCTATGAATGAGTAGCTATATAACCTTACTTGCATGCAAAAGCCCTTTGATATGAAGACATTTTCCACGTATTATTGGATATGGACTTATGTTTAGTTGACTTAGTTGTAAAAGTTTGTGTGTTTCAGCTAAATGAGTTCAAAAGACAATAATTATTGGTGGCTAGACATACATGTACCATATAGATTGTACATACTCACTGTCGCAACATGTAAAATTGTACTCTTTTCCACTGTCTGATCTACTCTCTGCTTGATACAGTATATAAAATACATTATTGTATCTCACTACCTACCTTTGCATTGATTTTCAGATACTACAAACACAGCTAGCGCCAGGAAAAGTAAAGTATGATAGTTCATTTTTGCAGTCATCTTCTTTGTAGCACGGCAAAACTGAATGTTTTCATCCAGTCTAGTCAGTCTAGTCAATTAAAACAGGATTGTATTGATTTTTTTAGTTTGCAATTTATGAATCATTTACCAAATTTTTGTAGATCATTTAGAGCTAAGATGACAAAAACTATTATGCTTTCAATGAAAACAAATACAAATTATTTCTTTGATGAATCAAGGGGTGTGGCTCATCATGAGAAGGAGGGTCAGTTTGGCAGATAGCCATGATGCTAAGGCTAATGAAATCCCGCACTCGAGCATTCACAGACCAAGGAAAGAGAGCAATAGAAAGCTATACAAGGAAAGTTAAGGAAACCTCGCAACCATATTTAAACAAGCTAGTTCCAGTGGCAACCAGATTAGTTAAAACCAACAGACACGAGGTCGAGAAACTCAAACTAGACACAGAGAGACTTGAAGAGGATTTTAAACAGTCAAGACAGACGCTGGTAGAAGCCACAAAGTCCCTGGAGTGCATCAAGACTGAGCTACATGAGTTGTATTTACGAAGAGAATTTGAGTATCGAAAGTCGAAATCTGACGTGCAAGTTATACGTGAGATTAACGAGATGGAGAATAGTTTAAAAGAGAAAGAAGAACGGCAGCAACAGATCGTTGAAGATCTCATGAAAAAGGAACAGGAACTTTTTGATAAAACTAGATCTTCGTATCAGTCTTTATACAACTCTACAAGGGATTACGCGATGCGTTACATTGTATTAGGTATTGCAGTTGGTACCATAATGACCACTTGGAAGGGCTTTCAATATGTTAGTACTTTGAGACATTCCACGCCTCCAACAACTAATGATATTCCTCCTCCTATTAATAATACCTCAGTTGCTACTAGTGAAGTAATTAATGCCATCAAAGAACATTCGGAATCTATTACTTGTAGAATCCTTGAAGAAATGAGATCTGACAGCGTAACCTTGAAACATGACGTTATTGATGCCATTAAGAAATCATCTACTAATGTAGCAATGGAGACAGATACTACCCAACCGGTAGAATCAAATGGTACTGCAATGATATTAGCATTGAGCTTAGCTGCAGGTGTTGTTGGGGGCGGTCTCTCTTTATTGCTATTTAGAAATTGAGAATTATCTAAAATTTATTATGTACTCTTGATACTAACACAGGCAAAACGTGTTGTATTTTATGCACTCTACATAAAGAAATGTAATGATAATTAATAGTTAAAGTAATTAATGGTTAATCTTCCTGTTCTTCTAGTGAAATATTACCTTCGATGCTTCTACCTACACCTGTTGTATAGCCTGTCATGGATGCAATGTGAGTCAGTACTATACCAACTCCCATGAACGTGACTGTAACGAGACACAGCATGGCAGTCCGTGAGCCATAGTACCCCTCAGTATTGCAATCGGCTGTGAAGTTACCAAGCACTATGTCACACTTAAAAAGACAGCCAATAGGTTGTACATTGGCACTAATGAGTAGAACTGTCACACTAAACCATATTATCACTATCATTGACAATGGTAGAGAAAAAGCTTTGAATAAATCGTGACCTCTTGACAGTAGTTTAATTGCTCCTGGTAGAACTATAGCCATTAGCATTCCTATCCATATGACTCCAATGAAAACATAGAGTACCCATGCTACTATAAGCTGGTGCTTGGGGCAGAAATTAGGATTCTCCAATGGTATGTCAGCAATGATGACAAACCAGGCATCAAGCTCTACAATGAGTGACATTGCCTCGATGATGCTGTGCCACATCGAATGACATTTCACAATCATTGCAGAATGTTGGTATGTATTGGTAACAATGTGCAGCTTGAATATTAGTAGTGGGACAAAGCGAAAAACCAGGAGAGAGACCACTACTAGTGCTGTCCCGGTAATAGCTGCTGTATCAATGCAATTTTGATTGCAGTTAAGCTCAGGGCCAAACGTTGTGAGGAGTGGTAATATCCTATCGCCAATGAAAAAGCACAGGCCTCCTATTCCTGTTAAAACTTGGGCTGTTATTATGATCAAGAATTCACTGTATGATTGGTCCTGGATGTAATCCTTATGCCTAAGAAGAATGCTGAGTACCACTGCAGCTACAAATATGACATAAAATGCAGCAAAAAGTCCAATTACAGTTGCAGCAAATTCTGCTTTGCTCTCTGCCTCCTTGAGTGTGAGGTACACAGCCTGGTTAGTAACGTTGGCCAAAATGGTAACTATTAGGAGAACAACTTTTAGTGTGCTGGCTTCTGAGTTGAACTTTACTACCTAAAAAGACAGTTTTAAATTTGGCTACATTTGATAGATAGACTCACCATTGTTGTTGCTGCTTCACTGTTTGTAGATGACAGACACCAAAACTCTAACTGCTGATTGGTGTCAAACATGTGTGTTTGTAGTATCTCTATGTGTCAAAACATCCCCGGGTAAATCCACGTGGTTACAGTTTACGGAACAAGTATTCGGTTAGTAGCTATGTCCGTAAGTAAAAATGGCGCTTTGTTTTGTGTGATTTTCTTATTTTCTTAGGCTAATACAGGCCAGCCAGCTCAAGACAAGGTATTAGATGCCGCCATAGTTGCTATACTGGCGAAAGTAGGGGATGTGAAGGGCTCGCTCTCTAATTTTGTGGGGAAAATGGAACACGAAGCACTCACGTGGTTAGAACAAGTGTATCACGTGACATAATGTGTCCTTTATTTTAGGCCAAGTGTCCTTGACAGCTTTTCTGCATTGTCAGGTCAGTTTGAGTGGGGAGTCGTCTGAATAGCATAAATTAAATTAGGAAAAATTTTGCAATTTACCAAAATTTCAAATTATCCGCTATACAGCTATAATTATTATGGCCTTCTCAAAAATTGGCTGTTTAAAAAATGCTCATAACTCTAAAAATATTTGTTGGAAACAGCTCAAACTTTCTATACAGCATAAGGGGATCAATATGCATCACAAAATGTAATAAAAATTTGGGGCGATTTCGGAGGCATTTTTTGAAAAAACCATGGGCTATAGCCTTAGGTATTTTTCAGATTTTGGCAAATTTGTTAAAATGGCCGTAACTCAAAAAATTGAAGTCAGAATCAGCTCAAACTTGCTATGCAACACAAGTACATCGATATGTATCAGAAAATGTAATAAAATTTTGGGGTGATTCCCGAGCCATTTTTTGGAAAAAACCATGGGCTATAGCCTTGGGTATTTTTCAGAATTTTGGCAATTTCTTAAAATGGCCGTAACTTGAAAAATTAAAGTTGGAATCAGTTCAAACTTTCTACACAGCATAAGTACATCAATATGTATCAGAAAATGTAATAAAAATTTGGGGTGATTTCGGAGCCATTTTTCAGAAAAAACCATGGGCTATAGCCTTGGGTATTTTTCAGATTTTGGAAAATTTCTTAAAATGGCTGTAACTCAAAAAATTAAAGTCGGAATCAGCTCAAACTTGCTATGCAGCATAAGTACATCAATATGTATCAGAAAATGTAATAAAAAATTTGGGGTGATTTCGGAGCCATTTTTCAGAAAAAACCATGGGCTATAGCCTTGGGTATTTTTCAGAATTTTGGCATTTTCTCAAGATGGCCATAACTTGAAAAATTGAAGTCGGAATCAGCTCAAACTTGCTATGTAGCATAAGTACATCAATATATATCAGAAAATGTATTAAAAATTTGGGGTGATTTCGGAGCCATTTTTCAGAAAAAACCATGGGCTATAATAGCCTTGTGTATTTTTCAAAAAATTGCCTTTTTTAAAAATGCTCATAACTCATTTTTTGCTTTCCTTTTCCTTTTTCCTAAAATTGGCTCATTCTTAAAATGCTAATAACTTGAAAATTATTGGCCAGAATCAGCTCAAACTTTCTACATAGCATCAAAAAATAAATAAAATAAAAATAAAGGCATCATTATAAAGGCATCATTATATTGTACATTATGAAAAAGGTTGCTCATTAAATTAATAATGACTTCTTTCTATGTTGCCAATAAAGATTTTTAATACAACTTGTAATTTTTATTTTACTTAGGTCAATATAGATTATGGAACAAATATATACTATATAGCAGGAAATTTTAGAGGGACTCAAATTTGGCGAATTGCTAAATATTGGTGATTGGCGAATTTTAATTCCACGAATAAGTGGCCATGTACCATTTAACATGCGTATAATGGCTCAAAATGGCGGATTTTATTTTGGAGAATGGCTATCAAAACGCCAAATTCGCCAAATTTAATTGCTTCCAAAATTTCCCACTATATGGTAACTCACAGTATTATTCTATGTACAGGTCATTACAGTACACTGATGAAGCAGCTCGGCAATGATAAGATTCCTCCACTACACAGTCAAGTCTTACTACCCCATCAAGTCTCTAGTGAAAAAGATAATGATCTCGAGGTATGGAACAAAAATTAAAAAAATAAATAAAAAAGAAAAACAAAAAATATAAAAAGAGAAAGAAAATAAGGAGATATTTAAAGCCACTATTATTTGCGAGCATTTTTTGCAAGTGGCTTTAGAATTGCAAAAAATTAGTACTCGCATTTATTATTAATTTAGGTTTATTAATAGTTATTAATTTAAAAAGAGCAAAATTGCAAAGCAAAAAATATATTTGTCTACTTAAAAATAAGTGGCTTAAGATATAGTTTGGGCCATTTCCTAGCCGAGTTTTGAGTGGGTTATGTTCAAAGTATTTTGAGTTGCATTTGTACTTGTCATCATGTCCACGAGCCTTGTCTGTTCTTATCTATCCTCTTTTATTAATAGAGATCAACTGAAGGCAGAATTTCTATTCTTCATCATGAAGTTGGTAAGACATAGAGAGAGAGAGAAGGAGAGAGGGAGGGAGAGAGGGGGGAAGGAGGGTGGATGAAAGATGAAAGATTAAAGAGAATAATTTCATGATGTGATTACTTATTGATGAAGGGATGGAATTGGAAACTTGTGATTTATTTTTCTTCTCGTACTATAGTACCTGACTACATGAGGACTAAGCTTGAATTAGACTTGGAAGCAAAGCAGAGGGATCTTTATGCTGATGCAGCAAACCCCCCTCCTGATTTTCAGGTATCCAACACTCTTAACATTAACGCAGTCACTAACTACATTGTATTGAGTTAATTCAATTTTTTACTAATTTTTAAAGTGACTTTAAAATTTCACAAAAGACCATGCCTGGGCTATATTATCATTTCTTTGTTTTGTGTCTCTAGCTTTACCTAAACCTATTTTTAAGCTTCCTTTGCTTTTCCTTAAGCCAGGTTTCCATATACACATGTAGTTGCAGCTGTTGTATGGATTCTGTGGTTAGCATACAACTGTTGTAGAGATAGACCTGATGTCTATCTCCATGATTGTTGCAACAGTGTTGTAAAGCTGTTGTATGACTATATGAAAAAAATGAGTATTGTATTCTGTCAATATCTATTGTATGTACATTTCTTTGCTTGTGTAGGCTCGCCCCTTTAATGTTTTACATCCACCTAGTTCATAATATATTTTTTTGAGGGCTTTGTTCCCTTTTGACTATGCTGTATGTTATACTGTATATGTATGTGTATTTTATCAAAAGTGGCCTATTAATTATCCCATTTAGGGCAGTGAAGTGTGTACTTATCACATCATTATCTGCATTACTAATTACTACTATTTTATCTACTGTATAGCGGGAAAATTTTGTGGCACAAAATTTTCAAGGATCCTTCAAAAAATCAAATTCGTGGCTTTAATTTTTGTGGTTTTCTACTTTTCGGCCATCTTGAACCGTATTAAATTGATTTTTGCGGATTTTATTTTTGTGAATTTTGAAAAAAAAAACCCGCGAAATCCACGAAAATTTCCCGCTATACGGTATTTTAAATTAAGTCTTTATATATATTCTGTGTCTTGTAGGAGACTCTTAAGAATTTCAATTCTCTTGTTGATAAAGCTGCCTCGCTAGTTGAAGAATCAAGAGAGAACTGGGAGAAACAAAGCAAGAAACTAGGTAAGGCAAAACAACTCCAATTGACTGATTATTATTATTATTATCATTATTATTATTATTATTATTATTATTATAAGAAAGACACAAAACAGACAAAAGGGGGACAAAAAGGGAGGACCCTGTACATAGAAAGAAAAACGAAACAAAAAACAGAAAGAGAAACTACATGTACAATTAAAAAAAAGTTAAATGAAACCATCTACCACTGATGGGGGGGGGTGGTAGATCGACATAACCACATCTGTGCATTGAAGCGCCAGAGAGTTATGGAGTTATTATTATTATTATTTTTATTTTTAGATACTGTTCAAGTTAATTCTTCTGAGGACACAAGGCGATTAGTAGCTGCCTATCTCAATGGAACAGGTATTAATCATATATAGTCTGTTATAGCAATAACAATAACTTGGTTTCACATTCAATTACTCATTAACAATGTGCATGTACTGTATAAGTACATATACATGTATTTGTAGTCGGAATAATACTGCAATAGCAATACCATAGCTATTGGCAAGGAATTAATATTGGTAATTGTAAAGGAATCACTTATACAAATTCATTTTATATTAGTCTGAGCATGTATACATGTACACAGAATCTTCAACATAAAATCTACCATTTACTTATCACAGACACCTGTTTATAGACACCTATTATCACTTAAATTGAGTATTGCTCAATTTAAGACAATAAAAAGACTTAGATTTGAGACTATTGCAATTAAATCTTCTTCTTTAGGTCTTCAAATGATGTCAACTGCTCGAAAAATGGCACTGCAGGGAGGGAAGCCGACATCACAACAACAACAACAGCAGCAGCAGCAACAACAACAACAACAACAACAACATGCTATGCAACTACAACAGCAACAACTATTACAGCAACAAATGGCAGCAAGAACAAGTGAGCTGTACAGTATACTTCAGTGTATTAATAGTAAACTACAGTTAAATCACAGTAAACTTGACTGTAACAGTAAGTGTAATAAAGTTGCTAAAAATTGGGCCGAAGACTATTTGGCCAAATTTTGTTTCAAATGAATAGGAGAGAATTCTACATTTATATTTTTTAGTCTGATGCATGTACATGTACTTATGTTGTGTAGAAAGTTTGAGCTGATTCCGATCAAAATTCGATTTTTAATGTAAAGTTGCTCAAAAATTGGGCCAAAGTCCCTGTACTGTAGTACAGGGTCTTAGGCCAAAATTTTGCCGAAATTGAAACGGAGAGAATTTTCGATTTTCATTATTTTTTCTAATGTATACATACAATGTTTATGTACTTATGTTGCATAGAAAGTTTGAGCTGATTCCAATCAAAATTGGATATTGAAATATATTATGAAGCACTGTTACTTTAAACTTTATAATAGAGAATTAGTTGCAGCTAGTAACTATTGGTTTTTCACTTTGTTTAATTTTAGTATCTCGAGTAGCTCCACCTGCTGGTATGCGGCCTATGATGATGGCGCCAGCTCCTGGTCCTGGACCACCTGGATTCCATCAAGGCTCACCCTACAAGAGACAACAATAGTTTTGATTTTTACACAATAATAATTGTAAAACATTAACTCAGTAGGCGGTGCTGAATTTTGAGCCTAGGAGGAGTGGCAGCATTGTAATTTGAGAAGAGAAATCACCAGGTCTTTGATAGCCTCAGAAATGGAAGCAGAGAGCCGTTGGTCCTCGTATCCACGAGTATTCAAGCGTTTCTTGTACAGCTACAGTATGGTTATAGTTCCTCTGTATCTCCTAATGGTCTTCTCGGCACGTCGGCTAATGAAACTCTTCAATCCGATGCAGTTAAGGGCTCCTTTAATACTTCACAATGTCATCTGCTGTATCACGAGCGTAATTTCGCTCTATCTCTTGACTGCTGGTCTATGGGAGGGAGGGAGCTTACTCAAATTAAGCATCTCCACTGAGCATCTCTCATTAGGCCTGTACATATACTGGCTGAGCAAGTACTACGAATTACTAGACACCGTGTTCATGATATTGCGACACAAGACTCGACAGATATCATTTCTGCATGTCTTCCATCACTCCTCAATGCCTTTTCTTGCTGATTACGGCTACCACTATGCACCCTGGCCTCCGATTGGTTTTGGATTGGCACTGAACTCATTCGTTCACATAGTAATGTACTCTTACTATGCAATGACTGCTTGTGTCCCACTGCATGATTTCACTTGGAAGAAGCTCATTACTCAGTTGCAGATAGCACAGTTCATTATAGGTGTTGTGGTTGGTCTTTTTGGGTATCTCAATGAAGGCTATTGTATTTTTGCTTTCCTCTACCCTCTGGCTCTCATTGGATTATTCTCTAATTATTATTACCATGCTTTCTTTAAGAGAAAGCTTGCCATCAAAAAGTCTAGCTGATTTTTATACAATAATTTTAATTAATAACCTTAATTAATATAAGACGAAACCACGCCTAGTGAATGCATGTGTACGTACGTGTAGCTACATACGCCCACATAGCGAAAGGATTGGTATCAGTTTACGCAAAGATGACTTCTTCAGCCTTGGGTTCTGAAACTGAGGGGCTTCAACTACATCATCTCCTTGGTACAGACTGATGTTTCTTTGGTTTACCAGAAATGTTATGTTTCATAAATTTTTAGATATTAAAGATTTGGAGAATGTTTTAAACCTGTTAAAGAGGTCTCCCTTTTCCTTTCGCAAATGGAAAGACTTTGGATCAGCTTTAGGACTTGGTTATGTGACTTTGACTGACATTCAGTTTCGGTTTAGGAATAACTCAAGGGATGACTGTATGAGAGAATGTTTGTCAAAATGGCTTAAGAAAGTAGACAATGTTAAGCGTAAAGGAGTACCTACTCTAGGGAGATTGTCAGATGCTTTAGAAGAGATTGGTGAGAGATCAGCTGCTGAATACATCAGAAGAAATGGTGCGTAGTATAAATGTCTTTAATTTAATTAGTAATGATTTATACTAATTATGGGCTCCCATGTGGGTAGAGTAACAATGAATCCATAGTAGTATTGTCAGCACTAGCCAAAACAAAGCAGAGAATAAATTTAAATACATTATGTATACATGATGTATTACTATTGGTGGAGCTGGAACTAAACTGATGCCCGGGCCCAGAAGTAGATGTGTTCAGTTTCTAACTTTTTCTTTGGGTTTTTTTATTAAAACTTGCTTCCTAAATGCTTGTATGCACCTGTTAGTACTCTGGTGAGGCTAGTGGTTGGCAGCTGCATTGTTCTTATTCACACTAACAGCTGAATTATGTAGAATAGTTGTGTTTTTGTTGCTGGTGCATTACAATACATTTGCTGGTGCATTACAATACATTTGCTGGTCCAGACGCAGTGTCTGGACCAGTCAGACTAACATCAATCCACCACTAGAAGTGAAGTGAGAATGTTGCACATTCATGAGTAATTGAGTATTAATTTGAACCCCCTCTAATGCGAACACAATAAAAGCAAATCAATGTGCATTACTTGTACTAGTGTGAAAAGGCATTTAAAGATGCTTGTACTGTGTAGAATGAAAGAAACACTTCACTTGTTATTATGTATTTTGTAATTTCTTCAGGTAAATTTTACATTATTAAATTTTTAGGGAGGTCAGATGTTGATGATTTGTTTGGTGAAAGTTTTGGTCAGAGAAGACCTCCATTGTACGAGATAATTAGAAATATCCTTCGAGAGTACCCGAGTGGACAAATATTCAAAGTATGTTTGAAATCTAAATTGTTATTTTATTATCATTTTGTGTCTATACATGTACATGTACTTATAAATTTGATGTTTATATATTTTTTCAGGAAATCATTCAAAATGCTGATGATGCTAGAGCCAAAGAGGTCAAGTTCTTTTTGGATTGTCGTGTTTTACAAACCCTCCCACCTTCACTTATATCAGCTGCCAGTGGTAGTGAATATTCTAAGGAGCTTTTGCAACAGTTTACAGGACCAGCTCTCTTGTCCTATAATGATGCTCCTTTCAGGCAAGAAGACTGGGAGAGCATACAGAGTCTTCAGCATAGCGGTAAAGCCAAGAATCCACACAAAGTTGGAAAGTTTGGAATTGGATTTAATTCTGTGTATCACATCACAGGTGAGGTGTTATTTTAATTATAGCATTCTTCGTTAAAGATAGTTTATTTATGTGTTAAGTGCTAACTATGAATATGTTTTATTTGTATTTATAGACTTACCAGTTATTCTCAGTCAGAATTATTGTGGATTCCTGGAGCCACAGGAAAGGGTATGGAAAGGAGAATCAGGTAAAGGCTTCTCCCTAAGAAACCTAAAAAGTAGTTGTCAAGAAGCACTGAAACCCTTTCATGGCATTTGCGGATTTTCAAAGGCTAATCCAAGCTACCAGGATAAGACCTTGTTTAGGTTTCCATTGCGCAACAGAGAATCAAATCTTTCCAGTGACGTGTACACAATTGATAAGCTTCATAGCCTGCTTCACACATTACAGGAAGAAGCCCAGTATTTATTAGTTTTTCTTAGATCAGTTTGCTCAATTGAAATATGTAAAATCACAGAGAGAAATGATACAGTATCATTGTTTAAAGTTAGCGTGAGTCAAAAAGATTTTCAGTCACGATTATCTCAACAGCGGAAATTATTGAGTGATGTTGAATCAACATTTATTGATGATTCAAAGTATAGCATACGTGACATTATTATTGATGCATCACATTTTAGTATTGAGACAGTTGATGCTGGCGTTGTGAGCAATTACGACTGGCTAGTTATTAATCAAATTGGTAGTGATGATAATGATGTAATGCAATTAGCAGAGAAGCAGCATATCCTTCCATGGGTTGGCGCAGCTATCAATTTAGATGATACAATTTCAAACGGTCGTATTTTTTGTGTTTTGCCTCTGCCTGTGGAAGATCAGGCACCCTTTAATGTTCATGTAAATGGAACATTTGCTATTAGTAGTAACCGTCGCTCTCTGAAATGGGAAGCACAAGAAAGGAAAGGAGATGAAGAGGGAACTTGGAACAAGTTATTAGTGGAGAAATGTCTTCCTTCATGTTACTTCAAGTTGGTTTCTGAGCTAATGGAGTTTCTAATTGATCCTAGCACAGTATACAGTTGTTGGCCTGATGTAAAGAGAGTTGCCAATACTCCTTGGCAAGGCCTATTGGATCCTTTTTACCAGTTGCTAGTAAGCAGTAGTAAGGCTGTGCATACTTTTGGAGAGAGATGGGTTAGTACTAGTGATGCAGTTTATATAATTGATGAACTGCCAACATCAGTCAAAGATGCTGTAGTTAGTTGCAATGAAAATTTAGTTGATATTGACAGTAGCAATTATGAAGCATTGGAGCAGTATTGCATTAGTCTCGAAACACTGCAACCGGCTGTGGTTAGGTCATACTTAAGGAGTAATGTAAGCTCTTACTGCAATACATCTAGAAATGAAAAAATAGAAATTTTAAAATATATTTTAAAAGATGATGCTTTTCATGACATAATTGGTCTTCAGTTGCTTCCATTAGCTGATGACTCTTTTGAGATGTTTCAGAGCAAATCGTATTTTGTTGAGGATATTTTTGTCAGTAGCTCTTCTCATCCTATCAGCCTATTGCCTGGTTTAGAGAACCAGTTAGTGAGTGTGTACAATGAAGACAGTACATTACATTCACTACTGTGTTCAGTTGTAGGAAGTGGTTGTACACAGCTTGTTTTGCTAGATACTGAACAAGTTGCAAATTTAGTATCAAAATGCAACACAAGCTGTTGGTCACGTGATCAAATGTCACATTTTTGGCAATGGCTTAACAGCCAGGAATTGTCATATTTTCAATCAAAGCCTATAGTGCCAGTTAAAACTCATACTGGTAGTACTAGTGTCACTGCACTAGCTAAACAAGATAGAGTTGTGTACATATCTCCATATAATCATGTAGCGTCAGCAGCACTTTTATCAGGCTTAGAAAAATGTGGTATCAGGTTTGCTGATGTGCGCGAATTTTCATATTTGAAACATAAACAACTCTTTCAGTACTTGTATCAGTTTAAGAATGATCAAGTACTTGATGCTATGCTTTCTTTATCCTTTAAAGGTGTCAGGCTTTCTAGCTCTGAAGCTGTAGCGATGCAGCATTTTTTTTCAAACTTTGAGGGTGAACGCTACAGAATAATCATCCTTTGTGGAATCCCTTTTTTAAAAGTTCTACAGCATAATCAATCCTCTCGAGTTTCTGTTAATGCTATCAGGGCATCATGTTGTGATAATAGAGCTATAGCAATGAGTGGTACTTACAGTTTCAGAACAGATTTACTAACGAACACTCCCCTAATCATTGATGTCACTGGAAATGTTTCAAATCTTATAAGAAATTTGTCTAATCACATTTACCTTATGAAGGAAACTGAGTACCTCCAGAAGATAGCATTTCAACAAATTCGTAACAGGCAGTTTAGCAACAGCAGTATAGTTCCTTTTATGATAAGTGTTCTTGACAATTTCTATACTCCTCAGTATAGACAAATAGCTCAGCAACTTACCTCTGCCATGAGTAGCTTACCTTTTGTTGAAGTCTCAAACTCATCAATACTTGACGCTCCTCAAAATTTATTTGATCCAGAAAGTGAAATTTTATGTCAACTCTACAATGGTGAGAGTAAGTTTCCTGCTTCTAATTTTTATCCTTATCTTTCCATATTGAGAAAGTGTGATTTGAAGACATCTGTCAATGCTAATGAAATTTTTCAAATTTTATTATCTCTTCGATCAAGTGCACGTTTTTCAAATAGCTATAATGTTGGTCAAATTAAGTACTCAAGAGTTGTTTCTGTTTTGAAATACTTATCAGATAATCCTGTCCTTTTGTACACGAGTGTAAATTATCATAATAATTTGATTGATGTTTTACATAGTCAAGCTAGCCAATATTGCTGGCTACCAGTAGCAAGTAATCCTCCAAGCAATTATCCTTCAAATCTAATGTGGAAGGGATCTCAATACAGCACAAGCTTAGTCTCAAGTGATTTTAATCCTTTAGTGGTTCAAACACAAGAGCTTGCTTCCTCAGACCTACCACTTATAGTTGGCTCACAAGCTCTATTCGTTGAAAATGTTCCCAGTCAACTTGTACAAGGTCTTGGTAGTCAACCCAGTGATCTAGTACCTGCTGTCATAAATCACTTTCATGAAATAATATCACTTGAAGATGAAATACCAACAGACATGCTGCAATCAATTGCACTTCAAACATATTCATACTTGATGCAAAACATAAGTTACTGTAATTCACAAATGTTTGTGGGGAAATGGATATGGTCGGAAGCCCTCTCAACATTTATTGACTCGAGTCAAGTGGCTGTATCAGCTAATCCATCATTTAGATCAAACCTTGCTCCATTTATATTTGTGCTACCTGCTAGCTTGCAAAAGTTTTCTAAACTTTTCATTCGATGTGGTGTTCCAGTTAGCATTACATCAAAGCAGATTGTATCAGTTCTTTATTTAGTAAGAGACCAGACATGTCATAAGCTCAGTGCTGATGATGCCTGGTTAATAGTCAAATCTATATTAGATTGGGTAGTTGAAGACATCAATAGAATGGATGAAGATGATATTTTAGTTCCAGTAAAGAGTGGCTTTGATTATCCTAAGCTTTTACCTATTGAAGAAGTGTTTTATACTGATGATGAAATTTTTTGTGATATTGCTAATGATTTAGATGAAGATTATAGTTTAATACATGACAAGGTATCTCATTTGTCTTCTAAATTAGGACTAACTCCACTTAGTGATCATCTTGGTATCACTGAGGACGTATTTGATGATGCTGGTCAACATGAACCATTGACAACACGGCTTGGTAACATCTTGAGAGAATACAAAGATGGCCTCACAATTATAAAGGAGATGATTCAAAATGCCGATGATGCTGGGGCAACTGAAGTCAATATAATGTATGACAAGCGCACACATTCAGCAAAAAAGTTAATCATTAAAGGAATAGGAGATAGTCATGGTCCAGCTCTGATAGTACATAACAACAGTACTTTTACTGAAGAAGACTTTGAAAACATCACTAAACTAGCAGCTGCCACTAAAGCTAACCAGCCACTGAAAATTGGTAAATTTGGCGTTGGCTTTTGCTCAGTGTATCACATCACTGATGTACCTTCATTTATTAGTGGAAAGTGGTTGTATATATTTGATCCAACCCTAAAGTACCTTAAAGGTGTAGTACATAATCAGAGTAGCCCTGGTAAAAAAATAGAATATCGTTCAAAGTTTTTAGCTCATTCTGATCAATTAGCTCCTTATCAAGATTTGTTTGGGTTTCGTTCTTCCATCAAATACAATGGTACAATTTTCAGATTACCATTTAGAACGAATCCTAGCCAAATAAGCTCAACACTTTATGATGATGAGCTGGTGCAGCAAATTAAGGATGATTTAGAAGATAATGCATCTAAATTACTACTATTTCTTCAAAATGTTAAGTCCATTACATTTAGTACAGTACAAGACAATGGTGATCGTTTACATGAAATTTCCATTAAGTGCAATGCAATTGAAAGCTATGGGATTGAAAAAAAAGTCATTACTGTAACTTCACTCAATTATGAAGAAGAAATAGAACACTGGCTAGTATCTACTGTAACAGAAAATTTGGAAGGATACAACGATTTGGCAGTAGCTTCAGTAGCATGTGGACTCCGTAAGAGTGATAACATTTATCATTGCCAGAGCATTGAAGGCAATGTCTTTTGTTTTCTTCCACTTGCTGTCTCCAGTACTGGTCTACCAGTGCATGTTAGTGCTAACTTTGCTGTTATGAGCAACAGGAGTGGCATATTGACTTCTGAGTCAGTTAAAGAGTCTTCCTATTCAAAAGAACATTGGAACAAACAATTGATGACAACTGTTATACCTAATGCTTACTGCCTCTTGTTGACAAAGTTATTGGAAATGCACTTTTCAGATGAGCTCGCATTATATGATTTTTTTGCTTTGTGGCCACTGGCTGCATCCCTAAAAACGAAAAATCCATGGGAGAGTTTGTTACCAGTTCTGTTCCATTTAATATCTCAGGAGACTCTCTTCTATTCCTCTTGTACTCAAAAATGGTTAACTCTTTCTCAATCTCAATTTTTTCCTTCATCATTATTTCAAGTGTCTGGGACTAAAGAAAATGACTTACATATTTTTCACGAATTTGCTTCTATGCTAAAGCTGCCTGTTGTAGCTCTGCCTAAGCTTCATTTAGAGCAGCTACAAAATATGATAGAAGTCAATGCAATAGATCTTATCACTGAAAAAAAGTTTCTTGAAATATTTTTAAACAGTGAATTGTTTGGCAAGCAGGATCTTAGTACAAGTAATGTGAATACTCGTAATAGTATTCTTTTTATTATACTGTCTGCCCTTGGTACTGGAAAGTATGATTGGTTAAAGCATCGTCTAAAAGACTTTCAATGCATCCCTGTTTCTCCTGATGGGCTGCAGCTCAAAAAAGCTTGTAAGCTTGTTGATCCTTCATTATTTTGTGACATGTTTGATCCTGAAAATGAAATGTTCCCACTGAATAGTTTTTACGAAGATCATTTAGTGGATGCAGCACTTTCAATGCTTGGCTTAATGAAAAGAGAACTCTCTTGGGATGCTATTATTATCAGTGCACAGACAATCAAGGAGCTTTATGATAGGAGTAAAGAAAAAGCACTTCTCAGAGTTAAAAGCATAATTAAGTTTTTGAATGCAACTAATTGTCCTGTAGAGTTCAGAGATATTCCTTTTCTACCAGTTCTAGAAAAGCCAGAAACATATATACTGCCTTGGAAAGGAGATGGCTGTACAGTCTTATCTGCTTCAGAAGTTATGGTAATGACAAGTGAGGATAATATGCAGAAGGCTAGTTTTATTGCCGGTTCTCAGAAACCTATTGTTAATATTCAATGTGTTGGTAAAAGTGGGTGTGATTTGATACCTCCTAATAGCTTAAAGTTGCTACATATTTCTACTTGGCCTTCACTAAATGATGTACTAAACCATTTTAGATCCTTAATTGGCTTGATGTCTGAAGAAAGCTCTCAGAAATTCTTTGAAATGGAAGACGTGTTATCCCATATAGAAAGAACTTGTCAATTGGTATATGAATTTTTTGAAAATGAACTGATGAATCCATCACACATTATTGCAGAAGATATTGACATGCCACCAACTCCAGCAGAAATATTACATTCCTATCAAGATAAACCATTTATATGGACGGGTAGTGAGTTTATTATTCCAAATAATGTTGCACAAAGTTGGAAAACAAATGGTCCTTATCTTTACAAGCTTCCTGTCATAATATCAGAGAAAAAAAGGTTGCAAAATGCACTTGCTATTCATAGCAATTTTGATATCAATAAACTCCTAGATACATTAGGTCAAATGTATACTCAATTCGGACAGGAACCATTGCCATCTGATTATCATGAGTTTGTAGATAATCTAATTTTAGAACTGAATGGAGCACAAAAAGAAGATTTTGATAAGAGAAAGGAGACAATTCTTGTCGATGTTCATTATGTCTTGCGTCCAAGTACTAATCTTTATTACAATGATGTACTTTGGCTCTCTGAAGTAGATGATTACTGTTACCCAATTCATGAAAAATTAACAAATGAAATGGCAAAATTTTTTGGTGTAGTGCCTGTGCGTAGTAATTACTTAAACCAATTTGTTGATGATTCAGCTTTTGCAGGGTCTGACTTTGGTCAGACAGAAAAACTAACTGATAGACTTAAAACCATTCTTCGAGATTATCCACTTGGTATTACTTTTTTAAAAGAACTACTACAGAATGCTGATGATGCGAAGGCTACTCAAATGAGAATAATTCTAGACAAAAGGCAACATGAGAAGGAAAGAGTACCGTCAGAAAAATGGGGAGATGATTTACAAGGTCCTGCTCTTCTGGTATGGAATGATAAAAATTTTAGTGATAAAGATTTGGAAGGCATTCAGAAGCTGGGTTTTGGTTCTAAACGTGATGATGAGGAAACTATTGGTCAGTTTGGTATAGGTTTTAATGTGGTATATCATATAACTGATTGTCCGAGTTTTATAACAAGAGGAGAAAAGCTTTGTGTGTTTGATCCTCATTGTAGATATGTATCTGGAGCTGATGTAAGTAGACCTGGCAGACAATACAGTACTAATGATAAGTTTTGGAAAGATATGTCTGACTTACGCTCATGCTTTCTACAAGATGGCGTTCTAAATGAGCTACCTGGTTTAGACAAAGGTGTACTGTTTAGATTACCACTTCGTTGTACAGACGAGCAGGTAAAGGAATCAGAGTTAATTGATGATAAAGAAAAAACTAAACCATTGACTGCTGACAAGATGGAGTCATATTTAAGTGAATGGGTTGCTACAATTAAGCACTCTCTTCTTTTTCTGAATAATGTTGTTAATTTTGAATATTTTATCATTAATGGCTCTAATTCAGTCAGTTGTCAGCAAAGTTTTGCTATTCATTTATCTGATGACAGCCATCACAAACGAGCTAGTTTTAAAAACAGTTTGTCTAGTTTCAGAGACTCTCAGCAGCCAGATCTTGTCTTGTATCAATTGATACTGAAAACAGTCCATTCAGACCGTCCCGAAGCTTCAACAAAAGAAAAGTGGTTAATACAGCAAGGAGTTGGAGACATACAAAACCCTTCACAACAATGGAATTATTTTAAAAAGATACCCAGACATGGGATTGCTGCTACATTAGAAAGATGTAATGATTTTAAGGGACAAGTATTCTGTTTCCTTCCACTTCCAGGGTACACAAATCTTCCTGTTCATATAAATGGAGAGTTTATTCTAAGCAGTGACAGGCATTCACTTTGGATAAGTGAAGTATCAGAAAAACCAGATGATAACACAAAATGGAACAATAATTTATTAGACTCAATTTCTTCATCATATGCTGAGTTTTTAGAACAAGTAAAGCCCTATTACTGTATAACTAAAGGTTATGAAAATATGAAGAGTTGCCTTAATGCTGTAAAATCATATTACAGCTTGTTTCCTTTTTGGATATCAGTAAATGGCTGGAAACAAATTGGGCATAAGGTTTTAAAATTACTTTGGTTTCATAATGCCAAAATATTAACATCAACAAAAGAAGAGAATCAATTTTTTTTGATTGATTGGCATGTTCTACATAATGACACAGAACCATTTAAACAAGCTTATTTTGTGTCATCTTTTACAAGAAATTATCATGAAATTTGCAAAATACTATTAAAGCTTGGTATGGTTTTGACATCTGCACCATATCTACTTTGCAAGCACTTTAAAGAAATTTTAAAGTGCACAGATAAAGAACCTGCTATTGTTACTGAACAAATTTTAAAGTGCACAGATAAAGAACCTGCTATTGTTACTGAACAATCAATTTTTCACTTTTTTAAAAGCTTTCACTCTCAAATTATTACAAAATGTCCTTGCTCAATTCAAGATACTCCCTTTGAATCAGTGAAAAAATTTTCTGCTTTTTTCGAATATCTACTGCTTAAGTCTGATGAAGGTGATAAAATTGAATACAAATTTCCTGCCTCTCCTGTCAATATTCCACTTCTTTTAACTGCTGATGGTCAACTACAGGTATTTGAAAAATTTCCAAAAACATTATTCAGCAAATTTGCTTGGCTTTTCCCAAATAGTCGTTCCCAATTTTTACACGAATCTTGTATCACTTGTTGTCCAAAACTAACTCGTTCGTATTTTTTGTCTTCCAAGGATGTTACCTTTGATTTTGTTGATAATTTAATGAGGGAAAATATTCCTATAGAACTTTTAAGTCTTCAAGTTGATATTTCAGATTCATTTGTCATTGGCCTTGCTACATTATGGCTGGATGAGATAATGCTTACACAAGAAGAACTTATAAGTTTGTGGCAATGTCTTAGCACTGATGATTGTTTTAAACATCACCAAGGTAATATTGTCAAACAATGGGCTTTAATACCTTCAACATCTGGCTTTCTTTTCAATTCATCTTCTCCAATACGTCCCATTATAAACCCAGCTACTGAAGACATAAAATCACACGATGTAAAGTTTTGTCACATGCTGCGCTCATTTGATGTTCCGTTTTTTGATACAGAGATAGAATTACCTTCAGTTGTTAAAGAATACTGCTTTCAACTAGCAGATGCTGACAAAGTCCTTGGTATGTTGTATCATATTCATAAACAGAAAAATATTTTTAGTTGTCTTGAAAGCTCATGTCCTACTTTTCAGGTGTTAGTAAAATATTTGGGAAAAGTTAATTTTAGAAATAATTCTCAAAGTTTAAGGTTCGTGAAATCCTTGCCAGTTTTTGAGTCTATAAAAGGTGATCTTAATTGTATTTATGGGAAAGATGTGTATATCATATCACATAATTATAAGGGTGTATGTCAGGCGGGATATAGTAAATGGGCAACAGATGAAAATATCATTTTTCTTAATCCATCAGGAGCATGGGATAATTTCTGTGATGTAAGAGTATTTGGAATTGAAAGTGTTTCTCAACAAGATGTTTTCATTCGCTTTGTTTTTTCTAAATTTAGTATTTTAACATCACAAGAAAGGCTAGAGCAGTTGACTCACATAAGAGACCGTAGATTTATTAGTGAAAGAGACTGTATTGAACCTTCTCCCTTTTACTTAGCGTTATATGAATTACCGTGCCTTGAAGGAAAAGATGGTAAACTTCAACCACTCTCTTATTTTAAGGATCACACCATTCCTCTCTTCAAAGAATTCAGAGAATGCTTTTCATTTGTTCCCATTAACTATCAAAGTAAACGGTGGTTAGATTTTTTTCGAATACTGTGCTTAAAAACTACACTGAATAAGAAGGAGTTTAAAACTTGCTGTCAGTCATTGTCTAGCAAAGATGCTTTAAAATGGCCAATCATCTCGAAGATGCTAGTTGATTATTTATTTTCCAAATCAGCAAAAAAATGGCATAAAGACTCAAGCTTTTTGGCAGAAATTGGCCGTATTTGTTTTATAAAAGCTGAATCTGTTGACAATTTGCAATGGATTATGCCATCCGAATTTACAAGTTTAACTTCCCTAAATCAAACAGTATTGCATAGTTATGCTGAATTAGTATGGACAGTAAAGCCAGTTGTGAAGTTGCCTACAGAATTCATGGAATCATACGAATATAAACAGTGTCTTATGGAGGCATCGATATGCCCTGAAGAAAATGAATCGTATTGTGATATGACCCTTAAAAAAATTGGTGTTACTATTAAACCAGAATTAGAAGATGTGTCTAAAAACTTGGTGCATATTTCAAAAGCACGTTTATCTGACCCTAGTCTTTTTGGTAACTATGATATTGATATTACACATGATCAATGCAGTTTATTACAGACTGTGATTGTCAAGAATTTTTGGTACCTTATTGAAAACAAAGCAAATCAAGGATTAAATGAATTGTTCACCATACCTTGCATTCCAGTGTCAGCTGACAATTCAAAAAATAATGTTGTTTCTCAGCCAGTTCTTGTGAAGCCAGTGCAAGTGGTAAGGCATATATCAAGTGCTCAGGACTCAGAGAATCTTTTTCCTTATATTATTTCTTTACCTCCTTTTATGGAAGAATTTGGTATTAACTTGCCTCTTATTGGTATATCTGAGACTATCTCACTAAAGGCACTACAGCACCTTTTGGAGCAGTTAAAAGGCAGACATTTGAACTCAGATGAGTCTATAAAAGTTAGAGAGGCATTGTTAATACTTTATGAACTCTGTAAGGAGGATTCTAGAGATGAAGATGTTATTGCCAAGGAACTTTCACCTTTATATTTGCCTAATGATGAAGGCCATATGAAACTATCGACAGAGTTGTTATTTATAGATTTAAAACGCTATGCCAAAAGCCGCTTAGATTTAGCAAAATCTTCTTACTCTTTGTTTCAGTTGCCTACAGTGGTGCTACCAAGCTCTCAAAAAAATAGCATACCTGAAAAGAAAATTTGCCTTACACTACCAGAAGAAGTTAGACCACATGGTTTATCACTTGTATGCAAGGAAGAGTTAGTCTCTACATCAAATCTAATGATAGAATGCTCACACCTTACTGATTATTTTCAAAATTTGAAATCTCTTGTTCCATCCTTGCAATTAGTTCTTCCAAAAGTAATATCAGCTCATTTAAAAACGTTTGGCAGTTCGACAGTAAAAGATACCGAAATCAACGAAGTTGTTTCAACATTGAGCAATAAATATATTACTGAAACAAAAGTAGTTGTCAAAGAAGACCTCAGATGTCACATAAAGTTGGCTGATGAAATGTTGATTGGTACCATCAATGTGCCATTTTTAATTCATGATTCTAGTACTCTATATGTAGACAGTAAAGCTAAGCCTAGCAGTATATCATTTTGTAAAGATATGGCTTCTATTATATGTGTAGAAATAGCTCAATCACATGATGAAAAACCAACGAAGTATTTGAGATTTTTATACCCAATTGCTGATTGCCTTACAGCACAGTCAAAAGAAGACTTTTGTGATGTTTTAGAGAGATATGAAGTTGATGATGATATGGACATGAGTTTTGACCCAGAAAAGGACACTATTAATGCTCATGGTCAAGGTGCTGATGAATCTACGAAAGCTATTATTGATCCCTCAGAAGCAGTTAGGTGGTTGAAACAAGCAAAGAGTGATCTTATAGCTATGAGTATTTTATGTGAACATGTAACAGACAAATCAGTATACTGTCAAGTTTTGCTTCTTGCTCATGAAACATGTGAGAAAAGTCTTAAGGCAGGAATGTATAAACTAGGTTTGACTCCTGACCTTACTAGTCATGGCCTTTGCTATCTTGCAGAAGAAATAGCTTCATCAGACAAATTAATTTTTGATGAACTAAGAGAACTACCCCAGCTAGTAAGTTCAATGGAGAAATATTATCTTAATTCAAGATTTCCTAACCGACACTTGCTTCCACGTGCACCTGTTGATGTATATTCTTCTGCTGATGCTATTGGAGTGGCTAAAAATGCCAAGAAAGTTTATGATCTAGTGGCAATGCTTTTTGAGCCAAGCGAAGTGCCTGAATCAATGTGTAATGTTATGTAAAATTTATATTGATTAGATATTGTCAAATTATTTTGTTGTTGTGATTATTATTATTGTTACCGTATTTGTTATTATTGTTATTATTATTATTATTTGAAATAACTTAGAGACAGTAAATAATAAATTTAGGTTAATATGTAAATATGTATTAGTATTTCATTATTATTATTATTATCATGATTAACAATCATCATTGTGGTCAGTTTTCACTAATAATTATTAGTTAACACCCACGCAATAGATTGATAACAATTATTGGGCCCTGGGAGGGACTGAAGCTTGAACTGAAGTGAATCATAGAGACAGTGAATGAATTGATGGCAACTACTGGTATCTTTCCAAAGCCTACTGGCTCTTATACTGTTGGATGCGTTGACATTTGTTCTGATAGAGCTCCTCTGACTCGTATATACTACCCAACGAATGACAAGCTCTCTCAAGAATACTCTTATGCCAAATGGAGCCCACACCCTAACTACATGCCCTCATATTGGAACCTGGATAGCTTACAGTCTCCAACAGACATTTCCCAAGAAGAAGTGTCTAAAAAAGCTGATAGTGTAACCATACCAGCACTGTATGATGCTCCATTAAGAGGAGGAGAGGACCAATACCCAGTTATAGTATTGTCCCATGGGAGACGTAGTATGAGAACGCGTTACTCTGCCTTTTCTTGTGAGCTAGCATCTCATGGCTATGTCATTGCTGTACCTGAGCACTGTGATGGATCCTCTTGTATTGCATTGAATCGTAAAAGGAAACTCGGGACTGATCAAGATGGAGCAAAATACGAGGATGAATGGATACCGTATTCCGAGAGAGAAGAGGGAGAAACAGAGTATGATTTAAGGACACGGCAGATTAAGAAACGCATTCAAGAACTAGACGCTACTAAAGACCTAATCCTTTCCTTAGGTAGAGGGGCTCCTGTCAATATTATCGATGATTTTTCAAAATTTGATTTCTCTCAGTTTAAAGGTCGTGTGAACGAAGATGCCTTTGCCCTGGTTGGTCATTCATTTGGTAGTGCTACACTTCTCCAAGCTTTTTATGATGAAGTGAGTACCTTTAAATGTGGCATAGCTATGGATCCATGGATGATGCCACTGCCTGAAGAACTGTTCACTAATGGACTAAAGCAACCAGTACTCTTCATCAATTCAGCTCTTTACTATCAGACTCCACAGACCATTAGTAGAATACTCAAACTACTCAAGCCTCCCGATGAAGCTACCGGTATCAGCTCTTCCCAGCTGATTACGATTGACGGTACAGTCCATGTTAGTCAAAGCGATACTATTTTTGTCCTAAGAGAGTATCAGTTAGACAACAATAAGCCGTTGTTGTCTCCTGAGATAAGTTTCAAGATTAACATGTCTCTCTGTCGGGCATTTCTCAATCGATATTTACTCAAGTTGCCCGAGTATCAGAGCAAGATACCACTACTGGATGGAGGAGGAGAGGATCATAAAGAAGAACATAATGATTGTATTATTTATGGTACTAATGTTAATGTTTTGTGATTATTATGATAGAGTCTATTGCAATGAATAAACTAATTTTCAAACAATATAAGCAATGCTAATTATATTCATAGACGCATCTGAGCCGGTTTTGCAATCAAGCTCGTGCTGGTAATGTTTTGAACATGAGCTGCTCTCACTGCTACTTATATAAGTAACCTGTTCCTTCCTAAAGGAAATGTCCTATCTCTTTCTCTTCTTTGCTTTTGTTCGCCTCCTGATACAGACTAGAGGGCGGCCTACTGTTCCCTATGGATTCAGATCCGCCAAACACGTTCTAGTCATAGGAATAGATGGACTAGGTAAGTTCTGTACAGTCTTGTTCATAATTGATGTACAACTACAGGCTGAAATACATTATATATACAGATATAGATCTATTATAGATAACAATGGGCGGGTGTGTGTTTGCTTTTCATCAACCACAATGTTCAAGTGCCTGTATAGCCCACCATCCACTATTCAACTTTGTTGAAAGCAACTTTGTGGCTACTTTGATCTTATGGCAACTCTGTTGCCTGAAATGGAACTCAGTTCTGTTGAGACAGCACATCAAAGTAACTACACAAGTTGAATAGTGGATGGTGGGCTTAACTATAAAATTGATATTTAGGGCCACTCCAATTAGATTCCTAGTTCTCCTTTCACAGGCGGGGCTGATGTGGGCGGGTGGCTTTGTTAATATTCATTACATTTTTGGTTATTGCAATATAAATTGATGTGTATAGTGCATGGATAATCAAATTATTAACTGCCCACGCAGGCGTGTGCAGGTGGGGAAGGGAAAACTAGGAATCTAATTGGAGTGGCCTTAGATTGATGCTATTTCAAAGCATAAACAAAACATTACACTACTGGCAACTTTGTGCTTGCATAGGTGTCACCTATAGCCACCACATGCATTATTTGAATGAACATGATTTGTAAATTGCTACAGAATGTCGCACATTAATAATAATCACGGATCAGTTATTATAAAAAGCAGCAAGGCATGTACATGTTTGTCTTTATATGTGCTTATGTTTATTTAAGCATTAGTTAGTTTATTTGCCCAACACAAAGTTTTGCTTAACTGTCCAGTTTTACATATTATAATACAGGTGCTGTTTATTTGAATAATGCTACTCATTTGCTCCCAAATTTCTCATTATTCTACAAGAATGGATCAGCAGCTCTTACTGGCATAGCACGGAGTGAAATGATTGCAGTTAGTGCCCCGAACTGGGCAGCAGCCATCACTGGAATGAGCCCCTCCCAATCAGGGATTATAGATAACTCTTGGACACCTTCTGAAGGAAGCAAAGAAAGAAATGAAGAGATGAGAAAGTGCTCAATGTGCAGCAATAATAGCTTGGTAAGCTAGAGTGATGTATTATGCTAATACAATACTTTATAATTGTAGGAAATAACTCCATCCGAGAGTATAGGTGATGTTACTGTTACTGTTCCATCATTGAATATCAATGGCTGTGCTACTGTTACGTATGAGCCATCTGCTCCTACTGAACTACACAGAATATCCTCACTAGCTACAGTAGGTTTTTATGCTATAACTAAAATTAATTTTACGGATTGTCCATAGACTCCTGAGCCAATGTGGGTATCAGCTAGAAAGCAGAATCCATTACTGAAAGTAGCAGTGGTCTACTCTTGGGCCTGGATCAGACACTTTGTGAGTAGTCAAACTGTTGACTGGTCCCACAACTGCAAAGGAAATGACAAAGAGTGCATAGAGAAAGTTAGGGCATTGTCATTGTGCCGTTTATAATTATTGCATAGTACAATTATTATAATTTATGAGTATGAGGGGTTTTAAAATGAGCCAGCCTATGGTTTTTTCCAAAAAATGGCTCCAAAATCACCCCAAATTTTTATTACATTTTATTAATGTCCTTAGGCTTTGAGCTGTTTCTGACAAAAAAATTTTGAGTTACAGCCATTTTTAAAAAATAGCCAAAATTTTGACTCCAAAATCACTCCAAGTTTTTATTACATTTTCTGATGTATATTGATGAATTTATGCTACACAGAAAATTTGAGCTGTTTCCGACAAAAAATTTTTGAGTTACGGCCATTTTTAAAAATTAGCCAAAATCTGAAAAATACCCAAGGCTATATAGCCCATAGTTTTTTCCAAAAAATAACTCAGAAATCACCTCAAATTTTTATTACATTTTCTGATATATATTGATGTCCTTAGGCTATGTAGAAAGTTTGAGCTGTTTCCGACAAAAAATTTTTGAGTTACAGCCATTTTTAAAAATTAGCCAAAATCTGAAAAATACCCAAGGCTATAGCCCATGGTTTTTTTCAAAAAATGGCTTCAAAATTTTATTACATTTTCTGATATATACTTTTATCAGAATCAACTAAAACTTATATAACATTAGGATATGGATTGGGAAAAAATATAAAATAGAGAATTCTCTCTTGGTCTTTTTAAATGAAATTTGTCCAAAAACCCTATAGCAAAGTAATACCTTACAGGCCTGGACTTTTGTCTAATTTGAGCAACTTTTAAGACTCATTAAAAATTCAATTTTAATTGGAGTTATTATTTCTATTTATTATACTAAATTGTTTTCTACTTTAGCTCATTGAGTTTATTAGTGAAGGCTCTCCCCAATTGTCCTTCCTTCATCTTGATAGCATTGACTCCACTGCTCACCTTCATGGCTTTGGCAGCCAACAGTACTACACAGTACTCAAGGTACTACAACAACTTATTTTAACAGTCAAACCTGCTATTGTGGACACTCTAAAATAAGGACACCTCTATAATCAGGACAGGTAGGATCAGTCCCAATACAATATAATAGTGTATTGATGAACCTATCAAATAAGGACACCTCTTTAATAAGGACAGTTTTATTGGGTCCCATGGTGTCCGGAATAGACAGGTTTGACTGTAGTAGTAGACCTTTTATGTGTTTTCATCCTTTATGATCAATGCAGAAAGTTGATTCATACATTGGACAATTACTGGAGGCACTACAAGAGAGTAACAAGCTTAACACTACACTGATAATGATCACATCAGATCACGGAGGGTACAGGAAATACCACGGGCACTTCAATGAAGAGAACATATTCATTCCTGCCTTATTCCTTGGGCCTGGAGTGAGAAGAGGAGCCTCACTGACTAATTTCATCAGTTTAATTGATTTTGGACCTACAGCATTGAATGCATTGGGACTAAAGCCAGGAGTTCATATGAGGGGACACGTTATAAAAGAGATTTATGCTCACTAGCTACTAGTACTATTATACCCATTATAGTGCATATGAAGTACTTTTGCGAATGCATGTGCATTCTATCTGTACAATTGCCATAGCTGTTTTAAGCTTTAAAACTGTGTCATATTAATAATTGTTATTATTATTTAATAATTATTATTAAATCACTTTGTAATATAATTATTTGTTCTTTTGAATAAAAAAATTATTATAATCTCGAATAAAAATATATTTGTAATTCTTATTTACTAGCAGCGGCAGTTAACAGCCAATCCAGGCCAGTTGACAAGCCTTCAAAAGTATTGACATTAAGACTTCTAACCTGCAATGGGATGGAGAGAAAAATATGGAGTATATAAGAACTATCAAGATGAAGATAGTGTACTGTCACTCATAAAATAATAATGCACGCTTTACCTAATACGGTATAGAAGAAAATTTTGGAGGGAGTCACATTTGGCGAATTGCTAAATTTTGCTGACTGAAAAATTTTAATTTGGCAAATTTTTTGTGGCCACGTGCCATTGAGCATGTGTATAATGGCTCAAAATGGCGGATTTTTATTTTGGCAAATGGCTATCAAAACATCAAATTCGCTAAATTTAACTACCACCAAAATTTCCTTCTATAATGGTACATAATGGTTCCTAATAAATAAGGTTATTTTAATAATAAAGGTAAAAAAATTAAGTTGAAGCATTGCCTTAACTAAGTTCCGTGACTCATGGATATTAACAAATACTGCAATAAATTCCAGTCTTACCTGCCATGGATTACTAATGTCAATCAGTTTCAGTTTATCAGCTACATCAAGTGAAGGAAGTGATGGTTGTTGATCGTCAGTCTGAAACAAGCAGGACAATACTAACAGAGGAATACGCTGATTGTGACTGGCTAGAAGCATGGCAGTTAACGTCTCAATATCTGATTCTAATACTAGAGGAGGAAGGAGAAAAAATGAAGATGAAAATACAGGTAAAGTGTTTTGAAGAAAAATTAACTAAAATTAAAACTTGCATGAATTATGAACATGAAAAGTAAGCAATTACACATGGGCTATAGTAGAGAACTTTATAATCAATATTTTTTAAAAATATTTTAGAAAAAAATTAAGATGTAATGAAGACGAAAGTACAGGTAAAGTACTGTATAGCGAGAAATTTTCGTGGATTTCACGTTTTTTCTAAAATTCACTCTGCGAAAATGAATTTAATATGGTTCAAGATAGCCAAAAAGTAGAAAACTGTGAAATTTTTGGGACACGAAAATTTCTCGCTATACGGTATGAGAAGAAAAAGTGAACTGAAATTTAGAGGTGGGTGATACGATACTAAAGTATTCATATATCTGATACGAGGCCTCCAATACCAAGTACTTGATACCAAATCCTGGTATCGAGTAGTGTAGTGGCCACGCCTCATTACACCTTCTTTGACGTCATAATGATGGCCACGCCTTTTAATAATTACAAAAATGGCGGCTCATTTTCCTTAATCTTTATTAATAACCAATCATAACTTATTCTCACATGAGCAATAGCTGACTACTCATTCAGTACTCAATACCATCAATACTGATACTCAGACTACTTGGTATCGGTTCAAAATTTCTGATATCACCCACCTCTACTGAAATTGAAACTTGCATGAATTATGAACATGAAAAGTAAGCAATCACACACAGGCTATAGTAATGCATGTAGCTTTAAGTGCTTATACAACTAATCAATTTTTATGTTATTAAATACAGTAGGGGCAATTATCCCCCTTCAAAAATTTTAAGATTGGAAACATCGCAATTCTTAAGCAGACATGCCAGCTAACACTACAGAATCTCATTTTTATGCACTAATATTTGAAAAAGGCATTGTGGGTTGCATGAAAATGTGGTTAACACTTCTGTACTTGTATAAACTGTAGCTAGCTATGACCCTTGCTATAATTAACTAGAACAAAAAGAGCATACTTTCTTCATTGAGATTAGTAGCATCAACAGCTAGTATGAATCCATCTGCCATCTGACACTGCTCCTGCACTGCCAGTGTCAATATTGGCTCTGCTACTCCTTCATCTCCCGCTCCTCCTCTGTCTTTGCTAGCCGATCCTGATATGAGTTTATTGATCCTCTGGCCTGTACCAGCTGATGCTGCTAGCCTCTCAGCTCTGAGGGGAGAGAGAGAGAGGGAGAGGGAGAGAGAGAGAGAGGGAGAGAGAGGGAGGGAGGGAGAAAGAGAATAGAAAGTGCAGAGAATTAAAGAAGAGAAGCATGAATCAATATGGAATCTTAATTGTGGGCATGAATTACTTTGTTGCTGTGTAGAGTGTGATCAGATTGACTGTGGCATTATTATGTTTTATACTAATACCAGAACCAGCACCTAAAACACATTAAAAAATAAAAAATAGATCAAACTAAGAAGATAGATACATATCAATATGTACTTGACTAGTATTAATACTAATGCTACATTTATATGGATACACTGTACATACATGTACATATGTACATGCTTAATACATGTACTGTATAGAAGGAAATTTTGGAGGGGGCTAAATTTAGCGAATTTGGCATTTTGATAGGCATTTGCCAAAATAAAATCCGCCATTTTGAGCCATTATACGCATGCTCAATGGCACATGGCCACAAATTCGCCAAATTAAAATTCGCCAATCACAAAAATTTAGCCATTTGCCAAATTTAACTCCCTCCAAAATTTCCTGCTATAGGGTACATGTACTTACCATCTTTCCCAGGGACAAGTCCAATAGGTTTGTAAGGAGAGTTAGAGTCAAGGATCATTCTCTTCACTAATGGTACTGTCTCAAGTCCACTCCCAAACATGAGGAGCCTTGGAATGTGTCCTTGAAGACGACGCACGAAAGACTGGAGTCTCTGAGTGAACGGCTGGTATGGGACTGAATCACGGTTGGTAAAACAACTCTCGTAGCTACATGACGATAATAATAGAGTTAAAAATAATATTATTAGTAATGGTATGAAAAATAAACAATATTATTCAAAAAGATAATGTCTTGACTTTAGGTGAATGTGCATTTTGATTGTCACGTGTTGCTTAATAGGTTCCAGGTTTCTATTGAGAGATTCTTAAGGTTTAATAGACCAATGTATAGCTATTACTATGGTAAGGTGCACAGCTATACATGTAGCCAATAAAAGTTAGAATCGAATGCATTTTAATCAGGGTTTCTTACAAATCATGCTAAGTGAGCTAAAAAGCATGCTTTATGAGCTGAATATTATTATAATAGTACATGTACATGGCTTTCGGGCAACTTAAAAATTCATAAAAATCAATTTTGATCAAACTTGCTACATACATATCACTGCTATCCTTACATTGCTTGAGCAGATCTATCAGAAGAGACCTCCTGGTACACTTTAGGATGAGACAGGTGGCTCACCACCTCCCACTGTCTACTGTCCTCCCACAACTTGCGTCGCCAGAGGAGCTCGTCACTCGTCAGCGTATACATCCTCTGACAGGTCTGCTGAAGATGACAGAGGGACCTCACGTCAAGATAAGCAGCTATGTGAATCACCACACCCACAGGGAGATCGCTAAACAAGACAGCATTATCCGTCCCGTTCTCTTTCTTTAATATAACAGAGGCAGTGCCAGCCATTAAGGAGCTACGATAGTCCTCGGCTTGAGGGTGGAGTCTCCTAGTCGAGGAGGCTGTGTTAGTTGCTTCTTGAGATTTAATGGAAGTAGGTGGGGACGTACTACTTGTTGAAGTGGTGGGGACTTCGGTTTCTCCTTTGTTCTCGGCCATGCTTTGATAGAAATGGTAGAGCCTGTTAAGAGGAGACTTGATGAGGGTCTGTACCAATAAAAGGCGAGGGCTGTCTATAGGAGAATGGCTCGAGTCTATGAATGAAGACGCCGGGCTACCTGGAATAGAAGAAGAGGGGATATCTTTAGGCTCGTCGAGTATTAGTGACATTATTGCAATGAAGTAAATGACTGGTTTTCTAGCTCTCTCTCTCTTTTATTTTTATATACTTTATTGTTCTTACCTGTTGGATTCTGTTTGTCACTTCAAGACAAGTCATCACTGTATACGTGGCAAACTATGAATGGGCGTGGCTGAAGAACAACCACCCACGCACCATAGAATTATAAAAATAGCACTATGAGGAATCTGCTGACCATTCTTTCTCCCTAAAGATCAAGATGATTTCAACTTCTGCAATTTGCCTTTCTTTTGCAAGTTTAGCAGGTAAGCTTATGGTATACTTTTAATCCATCTGTTATAAAATATCATTTTCTTAAATTAAAATAGTTCTTTTTGCGGCTTGCACCAGTGGTCAGACTGTTCCATGTAGGCCTCAATGCTGTGAATGGATGAACCAGGATTATGGATTATCCTTGCAATCACCTACTCCTAGAGGATTTATTACAACAACACTACCAAATCCTGAGGATATGTTATCAAATCCTTGTATAAATGTCACTGCTCAAGAAACAGACCAATACATCGAAATACTAGTAAGAATTAAGATAGTAAATACAACATTACTATGTTCCCCTCTATTCATGATATGCTACAGTACTGCTATCTATTTGACTTTTGTATTTTGTAGGTTGAAACAACTACCCCAGGTAGAAATAGTCGAGTATGGTGAGGAGTATTATACAAATGCAATTGTTTATGCTGATTATTTTTTAGTGTGACTGTTAATGATGATCCAAATCCAACTTGTGGAAATGTATGATCTTTTCCTTACCTATCTTGTATAATATTCCTTATATGATACTTTTGACATGTTTATAGGGTCAGGTATCCTACTGTCAACAAGTTCCATCACTAAATATGACTATAACAATTTTTTGTGATGACTCTTGTGATCAATCTGAAATTCTATTTTGGTTCCGTGTTAATGTTAGCCAAGCAGGTATAGATTTCATTACATCATACTTTTAATGTTATCATAATAGCACTGATATTTACAGCCACATCAAAGGCAGGCCAGGTCATACATACGCATATCATATGACCTGGAATGTGTTAATATATTTCTACATATTGAAAGGGATTTATATTGCATTAAAATGTTTGTCCTATGCATTTCTAGTTTCATTTGATGATGTGTTTTGGTGTTCTAGAAGGCTAGGAGATTATCCTTCAGGACTTATCAATGTGACTACTCCACCAAACACAAATCCAACTGAAATACCAACAACAAATCCAACTGAACTACCAATAACACACCCAACTGACCCACCAGTAACAAATCCAACTGAAGGGACGCCACCAGTAACAAATCCAACTGAAGGGACACCACCAGTAACAAATCCAACTGAAGGGACACCACCAGTAACAAATCCAACTGAGGGGCCACCACCAGTAACAAATCCACATGAAGGGCCACCAAGCAACTCAAGTGATTCAACTAATGCTCCTCAACCAACTAGCTCACCTGAACCAACTAGTGCTGGTACTACACCAAGTTCTAACCTCCTCCTGATGCTCTGTATTATTGCTCTGACACAAATCTATAATAACTTTTAATATACTAACAGTGCATCTTGATTGCTACTATTCTGGCATTCTAAAAACAGAACTACTTACATGTACAAAAATATAAACATTCACGCACCTAAATAAATTTTTTTGATTAATTAAGATCATAAAATCAAAGATTACACACAATTAACATTTTTTTATTTCGTGTTACAATTTACAACTATTCCTACTTCTTCATTTGTTTCAAGTCTGCCTTCACTTTCATTATCATCAGTTCCATACACACCACAGAGTCCTCTCTACTGTCATGCCCATCATCAACACTGTCCTGTATGAACTTATGCAAGAGTTCAACTGCAAGTGATTTGAGTGCTCTCTTGAATGGAGGCCCTCTACGATGAGGAAACACTATAGCAGTATCAACTATTGTACTATGAATAAACTGAGAGAGAGAGGGGGGGGGAGAGGGAGAAAGAATTATTAAAATGCAGAGGAGTTATGCAAATAATGGAAAAGAGAAGGGGAGAGTTACATGTAGGCATGTTTATAGGTGAGAGTAATCTTATACCTTCAATGCTTTAAGATCACTTTCTAGACTATGTCCAATCAATATGGTGTCCTCATAGATGAATTCCAATAGTTTTGACTGTACATCGGATAGAGTTGTTGTCACGCCAATAAAATCTTTGGCTGCTAAACCACTGAATCTATAAAATGCATGAAAAAGAAAGTTTAACTTCTGACTCTGATCAAAATAGGATTTTTATGAGTTTTAAAGCTGCTCGAAAATTTGGTCAATAATTATAGGCTATAGTACAGAATACTTATCAAAAATGGCCAAAAGAAAATTCCTTATTTTCATAATTTTTCCAATACTTAATAATCATCATAAAAAATTGGCTCACCTAGTATTATAATCTACAATGGGGTGCTTTGGTTTCACAATAGCATCATAGACTGTATCAAGCTTCCAGTCAATCACAGTGACTCTTGTTAGCTCCAGCCCAGCAGTTGTATAACACATCTCACAATCCAGTGCATGTATCGTTGGGTCATAATTAGCAACATTAGGTGGAGCTGCTGATTGAACACAACCACTGATGGAAGAACAGATCTCACCAGCAGTGACATGCATCTATTGGGAATAGGAAATGATTGAGGGTTAGCGAAGGAGGAGAGCAAAAGTGAGTGGGTATCAAATTAATACAAAAAATAATCATAAAAGTATTAAGGCAGGTTTACAAAATTACATTGATGCTGGAATTAAATTAGGTTCTATTCTAGCATAAAGCATGAGAAAAAAGGTCAAATCGCCTACACTTTTGATTAAAGATTGATAGTATGCTGGTCTATAGTGTTACATTGTAAACCAGCCTTTAGGTATCTGTGAATCAGACCTGAGCAACTTGGCAGCCTGGAGAGTCAATCCTACCACTGCAGCAACTGTACTGTGAGACAATACCTTCACCATATTCTACACATGTATAAGAGATAACTTTTAGTAGCAAAAAATATTATGACTATTAGCATTAAAAAAATTAATATCGACATAATATTACTATAAAAGTTGCAAATCACAGCTTGGGATTTCTAGTTTTTACATTAATGTACATGTGTGTGAATTCTCTTACAGTACATGTACATTCGTTAATTGTCTATCACCTTTTGATTTATAAAGTCTCCCATAGTGATACATGCACTCTTCAACAGTTTGATACCTGCCATCATTATATATTATGAAGGACTTCTGACAACGGCAGCAAGTATGACGAAAACCTAAGGAATAATTGTGCTAATAATAATAATGTAGAAACAATTATGATTATTATCAAAAAACTGCAACTTTTATTACAACTCAATCTGATGTAAAATTTTTGATTTGTGCATGAGTATTTTGCTTACACATCACTCTTTCTCTCTCTTTTATCTCCAATCTATTAATTCTTACCATTTTGTCCAACTGGTTCAATTTGACTCCGTGCATTTCCTTCTATCTTGAGAGAAGCAACTCCTACATCACCAGTAGGTCTAGGATAGCCATTGGAGATGAGCTGCTCTTCAGATAAACTATACTCCAGTAGCTGATTATAGAAGACATCAACTATAAATAAATATTTGCACATAATGTGCATAAAATAGCAATTAGCAAAATACATGTATAATACATGAACATGTATTTACACATACATGTACATGTAAATACACATTACATGTATTAGTTATTAATAAAATTTTATGATACTTAAAAATGGACAACAGTCCATGCCTTTCCCAAAATTACACATACATGTATGTACATGTACATGTACATTGTAGATGGTTAAAGGCTCATAATTCAAAAATTTGAACTCAGAACCAACTCAAACTTTCTACATAGCAAAAGGACATTGATATACATCAGAAAATGTAATAAAAATTTGGGGTGATTTCGGAGTCATTTTTTGGACAAAACCATGGGCTATAGCCTTGGGTATTTTTCAGATTTCGGCTAATTTTTAAAAATGGCTGTAACTCAAAAATTTTTTGTCGGAAACAGCTCAAACTTTCTACATAGCCTAAGGACATCAATATACAACAGAAAATGTAATAAAAATTTTGGGTAATTTCAGAGCCATTTTTTAGAAAAAACCATGGGCTATAGTCTTGGGTATTTTTCAGATTTTGGCTACTTTTTAAAAATGGCCGTAACTCAAAAATTTTTTGTTGGAAACAGCTCAAACTTTCTACATAGCCTAAGGACATCAATATACATCACAAAATGCAATATAAATTTGGGGTGATTTCGGAGCCATTTTTGGAATAAACCATGGGCTATAGCCTATAGCCTTGGGTACTTTAAAAAAATGGCTCGTTTTAAAAAATGCTCATAACTTGAAAACTATTTTGTTGGAAATAGCTCAAACTTTCTACTTAGCATAAGGAGTAAAGACATCAATATACATCAGAAAATGTAATACAAATTTACAATGATTTTGGACCCAATTTTCAAAAAAAAACAATGGGTTATTAACTTATTACAGCCTTTGCTTTTTTTAATACTCATAACTTGAAAATTATTTGTCAGAAATAGCTCAAACTTTTGACATAGCATAGCAGTAATATTACATGTACACACTCACTATTGAATTCTGGTTCCTTCTTAACAATAATTGAATAAGATGGCAGTGGACGCGGCTTTGGAGGAACAAGCTCAAACTTTCTTGCGACGGGTTTCCCAGAATCAATATTTATCTTCCTCTTACATGAAGCATTAGCAGCAGCTGAGCTAACAGCAGCAAGAGCAGTGAGATTAATAAGTGACGAAGGAGAGACCGGCTGAAACAAGGACTCCCTGCTAGTAGCAGCTGGGGCACTATCAGGTATACTGGGTGAAAAATCCTCAGTAGGACTTTCAAGGTTTACAATGGGAGATAGTGTAGGAGAACGTGAAGAAGTAGGTTCAGTAGGAGAAGGTGATTTAAGTGAACCGGTTAGATCAATAATGCCAGTATCACTCGCAGTCATACTACTAATAGAGTCTGAACTATCATTTCTCTCATTACTAGACAAAGCACTCTCTCTCTTTCTCTTCCTATCAGTTAATGCTGCCCCAGTTTTCTTCCCATTATCACTAGTAATAAGAACAGTGCTGCTATCATCAGAAGACGAACCCATCTTTCCTTCAATGTTAGTCCTATTCTTGCTAAAGTCTGTATTATCATCAATTCTATACAAAGTATCACTGCTCTTCTTTCTAGTGACTGTTGGATTAGTCCCTGCTCTTAGCTGAGTCTTTGTTTTCTTTTTCATTATCTTCTTATCAGGTTGTAGCAACATTGACTCAAATGAGAGGCCAGGACTTTTATCAGTGACACAACCCTTCTTCCTTTTCTTGATGGAAGAGCTCTGTCCAGCCTGTCCATTGTTACCATCACTTGATTTACGTTTCGACGAATAGAAACTCTTAGTATTAGCTCCACTGGAAGGGAAGGGACTACCTTCCAGTGGCTCATCAGCCAATAGGACACTATCATCAGTAGTTGCTGTTAGTTTTATAAACTCTACATCTTTCAAATCATCAAATACTTGAGGATTAAAACTCATTTCAGCCTTGACTGTACTCATAATAGGATCAGCATCATCTTTACTTCTTTTAACAGGTTTCCCTACACTCTCAAGCTGTGGCTTGATTCCTCCTGGACTTAAAACAACATTCAAATCAAATTCAGTGACATCTTTAGTTTTTGCCTTAGTTACACTTGTTTCATTACTGACTTCACTTCCAATTTTACTTGATTTGCTTCCGCTGGGTTTAAACGTGAGCCCTCTCTTTGGTGATTTGGCTCTACCCACTACGTCATCACTGGTCCTGGAGGAGACTCGTTCGTCCGATCGCCTCTGTCTCTCTTTGAGAATTTCTTCGGTTTCTTTTCGGAGAGCCCTCAAGTGGTGAGAGCATAAGTTCCGATAAATCGTTTGGTTTGCACTTCTTTTCAATAACTGCTCTTCATCATCAAGAGACTACAAAAAGAGAGAGAGAGAGAGAGGGAGGGAGGAAGGGAGGGAGGGAGAGAGAGAGAGAGAGAGGAAGAGGGAGGGAGGAGAACTAACTCACATTTAAAAGGAACAAGTAAAGTAGCAAGGTATACACATAATACGTACATGCAAAAGTAACTAACTTTCTTATAGGCCAAAGAAGGTTCCTCGCCTTTTTTAATAAGCTCATCAATAAAAGTATCAAGATATCCTTGACGAAGCTTAGTTGGTACCTACAACATTAAAAGTATAAACAGCACATAATCTATAGCTGAGATTATACAATGCACAGTCTATTTTGTGCCAAATTTTACCTAAAAGTACATATACATGTAAGTACATACATGTACTATATTTTGATGCTCTTATGTACAAATGGGATAAACAATGTAACAATTATTATTAAATAACTGACTTTAGCATTAACTACAGGAGAGAGACGCGGTCTTTTAACAGCTCCAGTATCAGAACTACCAGGAGATACAAGCTTGCTTTTACTAGTCTACAGTATACAAGTATGGACAGTGTAAGTGTGAAAGAATAAGAGACCGAAAAAGAAGTATGTAGCTACAAACTAGATGTATATGATGTAGAATTGTAAATAATTATACACATGAGATACACAGGTAGCGTCCAATATGACAACCCCAGCACTCCCAGTGCATACATTGCTGATTCACCTCAGACATTAATAGCAGAAATACATAGTGTAATATAATAATTATAATAATATCTTACAGTATGTCCTCCACCAGTAACTCGTGACTGTCTCTTCTTATTACTGTACATCACTCCAGGGTCTTTGAGTGTTTCCATTAACTGTGAATATAATGAGCCACATCCATTAATTAGTAATGGACTCCGCCTTACCTTCATGTCCGATAATGACTTGGGACGGTGGGAAGAATGCAACAAATCAGACGACCTGACTATCTAATAATAACAACAACATTTGTTATAAATGATAACAAGATAATAATGATAATAACAACACAGAGTCCCAAAATAATAACAACCACAACACTATTCAGATTTAATAACACTTTACAATAATGTACATGTACATGTACATGCTACAAAGACACTTTACAACTACAATACCGTATAGCACTATATTTTGGCGGCACTTCATTTTGGCAATTTTTCTGTAAAATTTTCATTGGCAATTTTTAATATGGCAATTCTTTGCATACACATGCATTACTGAGAATGCACATTAATGATTGGTGGTTTTAATATTGAGGATTTCACTGACTTGCAAACTGCCAATTGCCAAAATAAAACTCAATCAAATTTAGGCACTATACAGTACCAATCATCACTATTATACATGTAATTACCTTATCAGAATGAGCTACTCTTATATTCTTAATTCCTTTGTTTTCATAAGTTGCCTTCACTTTCTCTCTCCTCTCTTCCTTATCAACAGATACACTACCATCACCCTTTACTCCCTTCATGACTGTAGTAGCCTTGAGAAATGCAATCTCCATATCCAGAGAAGAAGGTCCATCAGTCTCCATGGAAAGAGAACCATCATCATCATCATCACTATCACTGGTCGGAGAACCAAATATATTCTGCTCTAATGTAGTGGGAGTTATGGTAGGTAACTCTTTAACATCTTCAGAAGGAGGACTAGTCTCCAGAGGAATATAAGAAGGAGTGATATTCACTGATGGAGCGTGACTAGGAACAATGGAAGGGCTGGGCACCAAAGTGGTAGTGTATGAAGTAACGGTTGAAGAGAGTGTGGGCTGAGATAAAGAAGATACAATGTTTGGGGATGAAACGGTATCATTATCAGTGAGAGAAGAAGATAAACCAAATGTAATATCCACCAAAGAAGAAGAAGTAATGCTAGTAGGAGATGATTTAGTAATTGAAGATGAGGTATTAGCAATGACAGGTTTTGTATTGTCACATGGTGTGTTAGTTTGACCAACTGATGTTGAAACCGATGAAGGAGCTATTGAACAACTGAATGTACTACTAGAAACAGGTTTCTGTACATTTGGTACTTTACTAGGCACTGGCTGTGATGATGATGGTGCCAATCCTACACAAAATGAATAACAATACATTATACATGCGTATGTACATAGATCTGCTATTTTTTATGTATCAGTTAATTATTTCACTTCAATTAAAGTCAAAGTCTTTCTATTGCTGTAAAATTGTACATTATATAGTCAGACTTATTTCATTAACACTACATCAAATAAATATTTTTATTTTAATATGCAAGGAGAAATTTAAGTCTTAATTAATGTGTAAGGAATAAAAGCAGAGTGTCTGTCATAGGTTTAATGACCAGATCTATTACTGATACTAACTATTAATGATTGATGGGGTCCTATTGTGACTGTAGTGACAGTTAGCTCTGTGACAGAGCCCATGCTCAAAGAATGGGCAAGGAATTCCCTTGAAATATCCTCCAGTAGGAAACATCACAACTCCATGCTGCTTGAGTATACGGAGTAGGCGTGACTTTCATTTCCGCATACTAGTCAGTAGTCTGAATCTAGTTTATTATTAATTTTAATAATCAAACCAATTTAATAACTTTCCCTCTCATTCTAAATTAACTTTTTTTCTACTAATAAAACAGGGCCTATAACTACAAATCCTTTGTTCAATACACTACAAAACAAAGGTCAGTTTTTGTTCAAGTGTATCCATTACCCACTGTACTGCGTCCTGCAGGAACAAGTTGATGATCCATGCCTGCTGCCATGGCAGAGCACATTAAGGAAATGATTCCCATAGCACTCGCAGACTCTGCAGACACCAAACAGCTTCCTTTTCCTGCTGTACAAGTTCCATGTCTTTGACAATGGGCGGAATGTATTCCGACCAGACCAGTAGAACTAACAAGAAAAGATTGTTGGAAATTTTGATTAGAAATATTAGGCTATACTAAGCTCATAATTCTAAAGGAGCATTACCTTGCATTTTGGCCCCCAACTCCAGTAGCACTTCAGCTTACGCCTTTGCCAAAAAGCTGCAAGACGGATCCTTCCATTAGTAATACTGTATACCTCAAAGCAAGCAGTAGCATCTCCTTTAGGTGAAGTATCACAGACTGTAGTTGATGCTTCTGGTGCTATTCGGTAGCTAATTGAGGCTGTCACACCCAAGCCTATCCTGAACACTGCCTTTGGGAAAAATATATTAACTTTTTAATCCTATTTCTTGTTTTCTTACCAAAATGCCTGCAGTAGCTTCTCCTCTGACAGATAGAGTA